TTAATACGGTTGAGGTGTTGGATTTGGTTGCCAACTAGACTGTGGTGCAGGTTCAGGCTGTTGTATAACAGGAGCTTGTTCTTCTGGTTCAGGGTCTTTAGGTATAATACCAACGAACTGACCTACTCTTTTGCCAATATTTTTGACTCCGTTCCAAATTCCTCTTCCTACGGTTTTTATTCCATTCCATATACCTCTTCCAACATTTCGAAAGAAGTTTCCAATACTACTGAAGAAACCCATTTTACTATATGTAAAAATCTAATGTCCGCCTAGTCTCTTACGTTTCCTGTTGAGTTCCATAGCATTCTTTAACTGGAGCTCATACATTCTGTTTCTCCTCTGGTAGAAAACATACTCTGGGTCAACTCCTGTGTTCGCGTCATCTGCATAGAGTTGTTTATATCCCACTTCAGGGTTTGTATAAAACTCTTTCCATCTCATATTTGCATACCATGGTGGCAAACCTAACGCAGCGTCATTTGACATGGCAGTTTGCATTTGTACATCTGTTGGCACTTGACCATAGTTTGCCATTGCAGTTTGTATTCTAACTTCATTTGGAATATTCTCTGGGTTTGGTTGTCCAGGTTGCTGTGCATTCGCTAAGTTCTGTGCGTCCATTTAATATTAGATAAAAATATCTCTTACGAGTACATATACTGAACATTTGCAGGCATTGGTTCATCTTCATATTCTCTATATCTTTCTGCCACGTCAAATAAATAAATGACACAATGGAAAAAACCTAAAACAAGTAGTCCTATTTCAAACCACATTTAGTTACCAATAAAATTTCTTTGTTATGACACTTTCTCCAGTTTATGGGACCTCTCTCATATTCTATCTTGTCATATATAAACTCATAGTCATGTATGTCCTCTAACCATCTCATAACGGTTTCCAAACCACTTTTATCGGATGTAAAGTAAAAGCATGGACAGTTATGTAAAACGTCTAAAGTTTCTAAAGAGTCTCTCAAAGTCCAGTCTACTTGGTATTGAAAATCCCATGTGTTATAGAACGGCGGGTCCACTATAAAGAAAACATTTTCCTTGTCTTTATATTTTTCATACAACTCTGTCCAATGACATCTCACAAACGAGTGTGGTAGAATTTACGAAAAAGTGACAGTAGAAAAAGTGACACTTAACCTTAAATTTCCAAACACTATTTTTTGATTATATTTTGTTATTTATATATTTATATATATATGTATATTTATATATGTATATATTTATATATGTATATATTTATATATGTATATATTTATATATGTATATATTTATATATGTATATATTTATATATTTATATATGTATATATTTATATATGTATATATTTATATATTTATATATGTATATATTTATATATGTATATATTTATATATGTATATATTTATATATGTATATATTTATTAGAAACTGCTTCATGCTGCATTGAGTATTGTTGAATAATTTGAAGTAGTGGTTTTTGAAATCAGCACCCCTATGAGAGCGCTGGCGACCGAAACACCACTAGTAAGATTGTGTATTAGAAACTGCTTCATGCTGTTTTGAGTAAGCTTCGATGTCTTTGTAGGATAGCTTTCTGAGAGCGAAACAAGATAGTGTTGAAAAAAAATTTTGAAAATCTGAGAGACTGTGCAAGAGCCAACGACCAAAACGCTACCAGTAAGATACAGCAGTAGTAGCTGCTTCATGCTGCATTGAGTATTGTTGAATAATTTGAAGTAGTGGTTTTTGAAATCAGCACCCCTATGAGAGCGCTGGCGACCGAAACACCACTAGTAAGATTGTGTATTAGAAACTGCTTCATGCTGTGTTGAGTAAGCTTCGATGTCTTTGTAGGATAGCTTTCTGAGAGCGAAACAAGATAGTGTTGAAAAAAAAATTTGAAAATCTGAGAGACTGTGCAAGAGCCAACGACCAAAACGCTACCAGTAAGATACAGCAGTAGTAGCTGCTTCATGCTGCATTGAGTATTGTTGAATAATTTGAAGTAGTGGTTTTTGAAATCAGCACCCCTATGAGAGCGCTGGCGACCGAAACACCACTAGTAAGATTGTGTATTAGAAACTGCTTCATGCTGTGTTGAGTAAGCTTCGATGTCTTTGTAGGATAGCTTTCTGAGAGCGAAACAAGATAGTGTTGAAAAAAAAATTTGAAAATCTGAGAGACTGTGCAAGAGCCAACGACCAAAACGCTACCAGTAAGATACAGCAGTAGTAGCTGCTTCATGCTGCATTGAGTATTGTTGAATAATTTGAAGTAGTGGTTTTTGAAATCAGCACCCCTATGAGAGCGCTGGCGACCGAAACACCACTAGTAAGATTGTGTATTAGAAACTGCTTCATGCTGTGTTGAGTAAGCTTCGATGTCTTTGTAGGATAGCTTTCTGAGAGCGAAACAAGATAGTGTTGAAAAAAAAATTTTGAAAATCTGAGAGACTGTGCAAGAGCCAACGACCAAAACGCTACCAGTAAGATACAGCAGTAGTAGCTGCTTCATGCTGCATTGAGTATTGTTGAATAATTTGAAGTAGTGGTTTTTGAAATCAGCACCCCTATGAGAGCGCTGGCGACCGAAACACCACTAGTAAGATTGTGTATTAGAAACTGCTTCATGCTGTGTTGAGTAAGCTTCGATATCTTTATCAGACCACCTTTAAATTAACCACTCACATTCTCACTGTGGTCCATCTAAAATTTGTAAGCTTTATGACATAAAATTATATTATATGCAGGATCCCACCTATTTCTTAATCTTTTTGGAATAAATGTTTTATAATATTTATCGATTGATTGTAATTTTTTGTATAAAAAAAGTTTTTTATTTATATTAAAAATATATTTTGTTAATGATATTATCTTATAATTTGTAAATAAATCTAGTAATAAAATAACTTTAATAGTTGGTGTCACTTTTTCGAAAATTCTGGTTTTTTCACGGCGGGTCCACTATAAAGAAAACATTTTCCTTGTCTTTATATTTTTCATACAACTCTGTCCAATGACATCTCACAAACTCTATACCCTCAATATATTTTTCTATGTCCTCTTTGAAAACATTTGTATAGTTAAGATATAAAACTTTTGACATAAGTGTTTCAATGTCATGAACTCTTATAGCACCACTATATAATAGTCTAGCAGATATACTATCCCAGTCTATATATTCTGCTTTTTTCAAAACCTCTCTTACAATATCTTTCTTATCTAATGGTATACGTTCCATCTTACCTATAGGTATCTTTTCTTTTAACTCTTTCAATATATTGTTAGTGTCTGGAATATGTTTGAGACGGTTCATATAGTTGTCGAAGTCATTGCATATAATCTTTGAGTCTGGGAATATTGTATGACATAAATGGGATATATAGAAACTTCCACCGAACAAATCTACAAATGTTAGACCATTCGGTAGTTTCTTAAGTTCTCTCAATATAATATCTTTACATCTACTCTTATTTCCAAAGAAGGGTAGTGGTGGTTTTGTAAAATTCATTTTATATATATAATAAAAATGTTTTTTCCTGAAAAGTGACAGAAAAGTGACAAAACATGAAAACATATATAATTTGTGAAAAGCTCCTGGAAGACCCGTATATAAGAACTTCATTTATACTAAACATCTTCAGGGCTAGAAGGCACGAAGTGCCTGGAAGCCCTCCGAATATAAACTTCATTTATACTAAACATCTTCAGGGCTAGAAGGCACGAAGTGCCTGGAAGCCCCACTACCTTTTTTTTTTTTTTTTTTTTTTTTTTTAATTCCCTACATATTTCAAAATATTCTATGAACATTTCAATTTTTGAAAAAAACATATTTTTTCCAAATATATTTATTATCATATTTCTAATAATATTTCCTAAAGCGTCACTTTTTACTTCCTCGATGATTATTTCCCTCTCAAAAAATTCAATAGCTTACATTTTGACAGAACTTAATATGTAACAGCCTGAAAATCAAGAAATCCATACAGGATTCATCAGATACTTAAATGAAATATTTTATTAATATCGATAATTAATGACGATAATGAAAAAAACTCAAAAAAAAACTAGTTGAATCGACAAAAAATGGAATAAATATTGAATATGCATCAATAATTGCTATTATATTCAAGTAAGATGAGAATAAAATAAGGACTAAGAAAGTAACTCATGATGTTTTTTTCAATCCAGGTCGAATATCAGATATAATTGATAATAATATAGAGAAACTAGGAAGTGAGATACCAGACCTTGAATGAAATTACATGATTTAAGCAAATTAGACTAAATGTACTTATTTCCTCATAAAGAGATTGTCACAGATAATTGTTGAAATTGAATTGAGAGCAAACAAAATTTAATTGAGTGTATTATTTTGAGGAAAAATTTTACATCGTTCAATTTAAAAAGATCAGAAAATTAGATAACCGGACAACTAAGATGAGCTCGAATACAATTATTAAACTTCATAAAAAGTTCAAATTGATTTTATTGTTTTGAAAAGAAAAATATTTCATTTAACTTTTTAGAAAAATAAATCTTAATGTTTTTTTATATTTTTGTTAATTGAAATATTTACAATGAATAAAGTTTTTTAATGAAATATACTCACTAGTATAATGCGATCAAAAATTAACTTTTGACAAAAAAATGTCAGAATGTAATAATATGTCAAATTGGATTTCTTAATGGTTTAATTATATATGCATTCCACAAAATAAGTTTTTAAATTTAATTGTAATATTCACGCACATTCGCCTATTGATTAAGTTAGAATTGCTATTTTCCACATGCTCGATTAGGATTCCTTTAGCCCTATAATAGTTATGACACATCCCCCTATCCCGATCAATTTATTTATGGATTACAAAAGATTTCATTTTAAATTGTGGTATTATTGAACGAAAAACTGTTTAATATATGGGGAAGCAAAAAATTATATATGAAATTGACCAGTTTCCATCGAAAAAAAAAGAAATAATTTTCAAAAAAAAATTAAGATTTAGTTACATTTCTTCGAGTTCTTTGGAATGTTCTACCATCATAAACACAAATGCCTTATGTTCTTCTCTGAATTTCTCCTCTAATGTTGGAATTCTTGCCTTTTCTCTTTCAATTGCTTTTTTAACTTCTTCTTTATAGATTTCTAAGGTTAATTCGCCACTTTCCTGCTTTGCAGTCATTTCCTGAATCTTTTCTCCAACTTTTCTGGCTTGATCTTCGAGACCTGGCTGAACAGGCATTTTATGGGACTTGCAGTACTTAACAATCTCAGTAGCGATCTCTTGGAACCTCTCGAGAACTGGTCCTGGCCAGAACAAGCTCAATTCCTCATCTGACATAATTCGAACTTCTGGGATTTGAATCTGAGGCTTTGCAGGCTGTTTGGCCGCTGGTTTAGATGCTGGTTTGGCGGCAGGCTTTGCGGCTTGTTTCGGTGGTTCTGCCGCTGGCTGATCTTGTTTTGGTGGTTGGGCCTTGATATTCAAATCTTGGCCGACAAGTAATGGCGACATGTGGTATTCGTAGGAATCAATAACGATTTTCTCTTTGACCAACGGCTTATTCACCAAAATTTCGAATTCAACGGTGGATCCAGCGACGGCAATCTTGTGTTGGGTCTTGATATCGCTGTTTAACTCAACAAGAGAGAAATGGGCCTGGCCAACTGGTTTGGATTTGCCAGAAGGGTCTGATTCAAGGGAAAGAATGCCTTGCTCGCTCTGGAACTTCTTGGCTGATGTTGCTGGCTTCAGTCCTGCGAAGTTTAATGTCTCTCCAACGTTGGAAGCGTTGACATAAAGTTCTTTGGTAAATCCTGGGATTTTGAAGCCCAATCTGTAGTTCTTCAATGTAGTAGTAACATTAATGACATGAATTGCGATTTCTTTTGCAGAAATATTCATATTTTCTGCTGGATATTCCCAAGTAATCAAATCTGTAGTGAGAAAACATGGTTCTGTAAGCTTGTGTATGCTGTCCTTGACTTGTTTAGCTGCTCTGGCTACTGTAAGTGCTGATTTTGGCTGTTTTCTGGTCTTTAATTCGGTTGCAATCCTCATAAGCTCTTTAAAGTCTTTATCGAGGACATCTGTTGGAGATTTTTCGATGTCGAACTCCGGTGGAATATTTATTGGGTTTCCACTGCTGATTTTATTCCACATGGCAAATGGAGGTACTGGTTTTGGAGTTTTATAAGCATTTATAGGTGGGAACTTTGCTCTCTTTCCTTGTACGACGAAAGGAGTCATATGTTTGATTCTTTCAAGGTATTCTTGGCAATTTTCTTTATCATCAGCGAATTCAATGTAATTTAAGACATTTGCTGCAAAGAAATTAAAGTAATCTTCATAGTTTGTGATTTGCGCGACGTCTTTCTTGTGGAATTTTTCTTTTGAACCTGAATGTTTCGCATCTTTCTTATCTAACTTGATTTTTGTTTCTTTGTTATCATTATCGTCTGGTAATTCATTAATTTCGCATTCTACGACTTCTTTAAGAAGCGCTTCGTCTTCATCATTCATTTCTACCTCAACCGGGGCTTCTTCATCTCCCTCATCATCGCCATCTTCTTCTGGCTCTGGTTCTGGCTTTGGTTTAGCCTTTGGAGCTGGTTTCTTCGCTTCTGGCTTCTTTTCTGGAGCTTTTTTCTTTTCTTTGGCCTGCATCATTTTCTTTTCATCCTCATCTAAATCGTTAATATCCATACCCATTGCCTTCAGCTCGTCTTCATCTAAACTGATATCATCAATATTTCCTTCTTCATCTAAATTTAGTGATGCGGGGTCGATGACTGCAGGGGCTTCTTTAGCCTTGCTTTTGCCTTTCTTTGGAGGTTCTATTCCGAGTGCTGCGTAATCATCTTCATCAAGTTCGATATCGTCCATATTTTGAATTTCAAAATCACCATCCATGCCTTCCATTCCTTCCATTGGTGGAAGTTCCATACCTGGTGGTAATTCGCTGTTTCCTTTCTTCGATTTTCCTTTTTTAGACATTTGAAATTGTCACTTTTTATATAATTTTTTGCCAACTCCTTTCATCAAGAAATATACTTCTTAATATTAAGCCATTTTGAAAGACTGTATTAATTTAGCAACCCTATGGATAGCTGTTTTATAAGGAAAACTCATTTAAATGAACTTTCATTTGCAACATCCATAATTTAATTTGTCTACATGTTTTTAGTATGAAACATCCTCTTTAAACTAGTGGAAAACTAATGGTTATATTCATTTGTCTTGTATTATGAATTTCGTATTTCATAACAGATTATGAAGCACTCAGAGCATAAACATATATGGTCATAATAATACCATTGAATATTATGAAAGATTGATTACTCTGAAACATAGAGACTTTATTAATTTTTTATATAAGATGATAATTAATCAATATTTTAGTAACTGATTATTATAATTAGAATAGGTATTTAAAATAATATTCTTTCATAGTAATAAAATCACTAATTATTGATTATAATTATCAAAAAAACTGTTTTTAACTTCAAATTGTTCCAAATTTTTTTTGAAAAAACAAATTCCTTATGAAATTCATAGATGTTTTTCTTCATTTTCTTGATTTCGAAAAAAATTTGGAATCTAAAAACATTTAGCAAACTCACCCACAGCTATAACTTAGCTAATTACCGCAAGTTCATCTGAAAATTGAAGATATTACGTATCCAATAGCTTCAAATTATGCATATCATCGAAAGAAATTTAGATAAAATGCGATACACTTCCATTATTTACCTTTTGTTCAATAATGATAATCATTTATGTTGAAAAGAACTATATATTTCAAAAAATTCAAAATTTTTATCAATAAAAGTGAACAAATGACTTCGAAAAACACACTGCAATCTGGGAAATAAATATTCTCAAAGAATCCATGTATTTCAATGCAATAACAAATATTGTATTGTTTTTGGGTTATAAATATAGGCCTACCTATTGTTGAAGTCATTTTTTATAATAGACTCATTGGTAATCAAGACCATTTTATCCTAAAACCAATATTTATATTTTTTATGATATTAATTGTAAAGAATACATTGAATACATGTAAAACATTATAGTATTTCCCAATTATATTAACTTTACATATACAAAAATACTACTTATGAAAAATATATTTGATGATTTTGAAAATATGTTCAAAGTATTGGAAAGGTGATTACTATATTTAACATTATTAGAAATGATAAAAATAGTTATGAGTTAAAGGTTTGGTATAATACCTAATTACCAGATATTAAGTTATTTTTGTAGACATAACAGATCCAGTCGTGTGTCGATATGTCATTAGCTTTTGGCAGCCCATGTGCAATTATCGATGATTTCCAGAAATTCGCTACAGCTAGTTTGTCATTATTTTTGGTGTCGAAGGAAGAAAAAAATGACAGATCTAAATCTTCGAAGGAACAACTGTTATACTTGAGAATATAGGCTTAACTTTGGTAATTTCCTAATTATATACATTGAGATATAAATACCCACTAAGGATTTAATGTAAATTCGATTTCTCATCCGATGAAATATAATTTTTTCTACTTTTATGGTACTTTCTTCTGCATTTCCCCTAATATAATGCATCATATGCATAATAAAAGTTTTCTCCTTAATTCGAAATAGATACAGATACCTGCAAATTCGGAATAATTTTTCGTATCTCCAAAACCAATCATAAAAAATGAAAAAGGAAAAAAAGAATTTAATTAATAAGCATGATACATACAAATTTATTATATACATAAAGATATACACGAATTTAGAGATCAACCCTTTCAAATGGTTTATCTCTAGAAAATCTATTAAGTGGATCCTTGAAGCTGCAGACAGTGCAATCATCAACATCATCACAGGAAACATCTCTTGAAAATACAGGGTTTGCGCCTTTGAAAACTTGCTCGAAACCGTACTTGTTAATTAAGCCCTGCTTGTCGAACAAGGTTAAGAACTCTGATTTGTTGCCGAGGAACTGTGAGAAGATCTTTTCGTTGATCTTGAAATGCTTGGAATCAATCCACATGACTCCAACGAATTTGTAAGCTGATTCGTAATTCTTGGTGATGCAGAGGGCGTTGTACAATTTGAGGTCAAAAGAACGAGCTGTGCCGTTTCTTCTGGTGAAATATGAAGCTTTGATCTCTTCGAGGTTAGTTTGTCTTGGGGACCACTCAGATGCTGGAAGAAGTCCGATGTTATGTGGTTCAATGATAATATCAGAGGCTTTTTCAGGATGAGAGTCCTTATGTGGTGGTGTAATCTTTGCGTTGAAAGATCTGCTGACAAGGTTTAACTCTTCATTGCTTTCTGTATTTGAAAATTCGAAGTCATCGCGAGTAATTGAATCTGGATAGTAAAAGTTCATTCCGAGAATCTGTTGAAGAGCGCCTGATTTATGCTTGGGGATTGGGAATCCAGCTGTCAAAGACATGAAATGTCTTCCGCCAACGATGAGTGTGCAAAGTTCAGCCATAGAGAATAATAATGAAAAAAATGATATCAGAATTCAATCTCAGAAAAATCGTGGATTTTTGTGAGAGATTGTGATTCTTTAAAAAATGGTCTCAAAAAAGTAGTTTTGATTTTTAAGATATTATAGAGTTCCAAGCATATATCAATTTTTTCATTTTTGGTCAATGCTATTTTTTTGATTTTTGAAAAGTTTCTCAGAATTAAGTGTTTTGAGAATAGAAAATTCAACGTGCAACAAATTAAGATCAAATATTCGGTCTGTATATATAATAAGAATACAAGGAAAATTTGAAACCATATGAATTAAAAAATTCTCACAAATTAAAATGTTTAATAATCATTGGTTTATGTGATTTTAAACTTTTCTGTTTATATAAAAAATATTAACTCATTGAAAAATTGAGTGAACAACTTTTTTTATTTAAAATTTTTTTGTTGTTATTCGAGTAATCTCATTTTTCTATCTTATTATATTTTTTTGAATGGTTGTTTATGGATTTTTCTTAGAAAAAGAATTCTCTGATTAAGATAATGTCATATATCCTATTATTCATCATTAAAATTCGGTTTAAAATTTATATTGATATAGCATTCAATTTTTTTGTATTTGAATGATCATTTATTGTTTTGAATTTTATGTAACTAAATTCTTTTAAATCATATAATTTTAAATCATTATCGTATTAGCTTAATTTGCCGAAAAATATATTGAAATTTTTCGAAAGAATATTTTATAATGTCAATATTTTTAGAGATTTTCTGGCAGTTAATCATGTCTTTCCATCTAGATATTACATAATAAATCTCTAAAGCTTCCGCTATCACAATCTTCTCGAATTCTCAACACCTTTATAAAACCTATATCAAATTAACAACATATTCAAGTAGCATTCTTTTGTCTAATATTTATCGCCTAATAAAAAATTTTATCTATATTAATATCAGCCCTTAAAAATTAGAATAGAATGTTCAAGGGGAAACAACAGTGAATTCAATAAACAGGGTGAAATTCTTTACATGATGAAAATACAAACAAAATATATAAAAAATTACAACTGCGAAGTATCATCATTGGAAGACTTATGAATTAAGATATTTTCAATGATATTATCGCTTTGGTTTGATGTATGTTTTTGTAAATTAAATACAGGAGGAAAACATAGTGGAAGTGGAGCCTCACTGATTTTTGATTCATAATTGGTATTAGTTGTTTGTGATTCAAAATCAAGACTTTCTTTGCGTTTAGTTTTTTCAATTGATTCTTTAAATATTGAAATTATTCAACTCATGTTGATTTGTTTTAATATATTTTTGACCTCTATGATGAAATGCATTACTATCAAACAGGATTTCCTGTTTTAATTCAACACAATCATTACTATTTAAAACTATTTGGTCATTGAATTTTATTTTTCCAATTGTATCACATAACAAGAATTTTTACATTAACCAGACAAGAAAAGCACTCGATGTGAGTGATATTATTCATATTTCTTATATTCAAGATTCATCAAATTGGTTTTAAAAATTGCTCTATAGAAAAGTTGGGCATCTAATATAATTTTATTGAACACATACATTTCTAGATGATTTATAACACTATACATATGGGCATTATTGAATTAATAAATTTGTTTCCATTTTATATTTGAATTTATACTATAATTAGATAAAAACATGACAAATTTAGTATTTTAAAGGTAAAATAACATTATTGTTGCTGATTTTCTGCAGGTTGTTCTTCATCAATTTGAAAATATGGATCAACTTTTTTCTTTTTGTCAACAATTGTATCGCGGAATTTTTCGGGGAGAGAATCAATGACTTGTTGTATAAGTTCTCCTTTCTTAACAGTAAGGGTATAGAGTTGTTTTGTTGTTTTGAGCTTAAACTTAGCTGTCTCATCGTTAACACGAAGTATAACAACATTTTTTGCATCTGGAGCCATACATCTCTCTACAAATTGACGAGCAGTAAGTACTTGTTTGGGCATAATAGCGTCACTTTTATTCTTGTGTCTTCAGGGTCTTGGAATTATTTGTAAAGGACATTAGAGTTGAACTCATTTTTGTGATCTAAATAGCGATAATGCTTTAAAAATGCGAAATAATGTGATTATTCTGAAAAATCGAAATTTCTTACATTTGTTCCTGGATCATGACGAAACAGCAGTAGAAATAGTATGCTCATCATTTTTTTACACTTAAAATAGTTACAACAATCGAAATGTTGGATTCATCAAAGGTAACTAAACTACTTTCGCCGATCCGATTTGCTCCATATTTAAAATATAGCTTGCATATGTAGAAGAAAAGCTAATTTTGAAGTACGCCCGAAATCCACCAACAGGATTTCGAGCTACTAAAAAGGTACTTTTAAATGTGATTTTTTTTATAAAAAATTAAATTTATTTTAAGATCAGACTAAAAACTAATTTTATGGAAAATCTATATCGACAAATTTATTACTTATTGGGTATATAGATTTTTTGATTATGGCGATTATGTCTGATATGCTTCCAATAAGCCAAAACACATTTCATACTGATTTCTATAAAAGGTATCTTTATTATAGAAGTGTAAGCTATATCTGTTTGTTTTTTTATTATAACAAATTCAAAATTCTCTTATAAGGACTAGATGAAATCTGTATTATTAAATCATTAGCTAAATGAAGGTTCAAATAGAAAGTAAATATCAATTTATATGATACTGAAACCAAATAGTTCTTTTAATAAAAGATAACACGCTGAAAATTATTGAGTATTTGCAAATCTCAAAAATCTATTGGTGAATTTGGCTCAACTTTTAAAATTATAACATCCATATCAAATCATAAAAGCAGACAAAAATTAAAGCCAAACCTATCGGCCAATTTTTTTTGATATTTTGATTTTTGAGGTATACTTTTAAAAGTGGATTTAAAGCACTGATGAAAAAACATTAACTTCTGTCGTTATGATTATTGATTTAGACAATAATGATTTTAATCTTTGATTATCAAAACACTAAAGTCATCTTTTTAACATTTGCTTGGTAGCATTAACTCAAGTCTAAAGTACTATTTTATGTGGCACTCTTAGAATTTTTGTATTCATTGTACACGCTGAAATAGTACCATTAAAGTTATGGCGGACTTTCAAAAAATAGTTTGGTCACCTTTGGATTCATCTGGCAGATGCCTGTCAAATTTCATGTTTAATTAACAATTATCCAGGAATTGAAAACATTCGTGATTATAACGTAATGAAAAATCAAACCGCCGACAATACTCAATTCAATAAATTATGAATTCGTATACATTCAAGTTTCTCCTTGTGGGTGATCAAGCTGTTGGCAAGACATCATTAGTTCATAGATTATGCAGAAACACATACAGCGATAATTCTGAAGAAACAGTTGGCGTTGAATTTATGCCGTATAATTTAAATATTGATAAAACGCAAATCAAACTTCAAATATGGGATACAGCAGGACAAGAGCAGTACAGATCATTAGCCAAAGCATATTTTAGAAATGCTGTTGGCGTAGTTTTGTTTTTCGCAATTAATGACCACCTTTCTTTTCAACATTTGGAAACATGGCTCAATGACATTCGTTCATTATGCCATAAAAATTGCAGGATTCTTTTAGTTGGCTCAAAAATTGATTTAATAGAAGAAAGAAAAATAACAAAAGATGAAATACAAAAATTTGTCGAAAACTTCGATTTAGAGTACATTGAAACATCTGCCAAGGAAAATACAAATATCAAAGAAACTTTTTATAAATTAGCTCAAGAAGTTTTGCATTCCGTACAAAAAGGAGATATTGTATTGGGCAACCCATCGAATTCTGTTCAACCAACAGCAGAAACTGAACCTAAGAAGTCTTGCTGCTAAATTATTTTATTCAGATTGTATTATTTGTTTTAATATTAAAAACACTAAAACGGATTTACTTATAATTTAATGGATTATGTATTTTTCTTACTTTTTTTATTCACAATTAGATATGAAAAACAAACTTAATATATTTCTATATAGATTTAGCTTCTACAAGGCAGATTGCGCAAGGAGATTCACTTGTTTCAGCAGGCAGACCACAAATAGGGCATTTTTCTGTATACTTCGTCTGAGGCATTTTTTCGCCCATACTTTGAACAGAATGTACAGTAGTATCGTTACCATCAGCAATTATATTATCCAGCATATGCTTTTCAACTTCAAATTCCTTCTGAAGTAAAGATTTTTCATTTGTTGTGGCAACATGATGTGTATCACACCAAAACTTAAGCTCTGATGTTAGTAAAGTACGTGCAGGTCTAAGAATTGCAACATTTTTGTAAGTCGTAAAATCATTTCCTGCAATGTATGGAATCAGATCAGGTCTACCAAGTGAAATATATCCAAGGATCTTAAGTGTAATGAAATCCATTGAGTCTCCAAAAACAACGCAATTGAAATCGTGATTTTCTGCATAATCAACAACATTCTTAACAGTAAACTTGTCAATATGATGTAAGTTAGGTAAATCTAATTGCTTTGTTGAAATAGGTTCAATTTTACGAATTGCACTGCTTTTTCCTGGCCTCTTTGTATCAACTCTTTCTGTAAGAATAGTATACGCAAACATTGAACACGGACCACCTGATACAGCAACTAAGATATTCAGAGTATGTCTCTTTAATTCCATTGTAGATTTTCTAAAAATATTCATATATTGCTTGCCAATTTGTTCACAAGTGCAGTTATCACACTTGGGTGTGCACTTTCTGAGTGCAAAAAGTTCCTTTTCTTGCTTGCAACCAGGGCAAATCCCACTCATGCGATTTTTCTTTTGAAAATTTTTTTTGGGAAAATTTTTGACCACTTTCAATGCATATTCTGCCAATACCTATTTAAAGTCTCGAACTTTAAGAAAAATAATATCATTCGCCTTTTTAACTCAAATTGTAAAATAATCTCCCTGAATTTGTTACCCATTTCTGAAAGAATCAAATAAATAGCAGATATTCCCTATTTCTAGCCTTTTCTTCATTGAATTCATATTAAACGACTTTTATTCATTCCAAACATAAAGAATAAAACTAATTTACAAGCAACAATCTCTGTCCGAAACAGTGGTAGCACTGTTATATTATGTCCTAAAACAGAAGCTGCGCTCTTGATAATGTTGTTTGAGATTGATTCTTTCTCAAAGAAATGGCAAAATACGAGTGAAAGAATAATAGAAAAATTATATCATGAATCCATTTCATAAAAGATAGTGATCTCGAAAATCTTTTAGATGAATCCTTCTGGGAATTGTAGAATTTTGATACAAGACCTCGTGATATGCATGTCATTGACATTTCTATTGAAAATATCTTGGCAATGCACTGTGAAATATCATTAATTTTAAATAATATTTTATCTCAAACCATTTTGAGATGATTTGAAGAGAAAAATTAGAGAAAAATAAAAATTAAACACATATATCACATTTACAAAACACAAAAAGCAAGAATAATTGTGCTAATTGTTAGATTGTTTGTCTGTTTTGTTAGTCATCGCGTTTTCGAGGTATCTAATAGAATTAATAAATTCTAAAGCAGGAACAATTGTTGTTGATCCTCTTCTCGCTTCTCTGTCAGCAAAAATTGCAGTCCATCTAACTAAAAACGGCAAAGATTTGCTAGAAATGATTGTATCGCTTGTAGCTGGTCCGAAACTGAGCTCCTTCTTCTTTCTGTAGATAGAAACTCTGAATAAATCGTCAGATCCGTTTATTGGGTAAATTATAACGTGAGCATCGTTAAATTGGGAGGAAATTGTCAATGGATTGTAGTCCTGTTCATTTTCGCTCCATATAACATTGATGTTATCGTTACCGATGTGACGTTTTTTGTAAATTTGCTGAGCTTCCTTATAATCTGTTGGCATTAATGGGGCAGTATGGAACATAACCTCGTAGGACTCATTGCTGTAGAAGCAATGATACCTTCCGTTCGTATATGTGTTGGAATCCATTTTGCCGTTGAAATAAATGTGCTTTGATAGGTCAACAATGCTTCCTAGGCTCCTCACGAAGCTCTTGAACCGCTCAGTAACAAGATCGTCGGTCCAAATATTCCGTAAAATGTCATTTTGATCTGTTTGATTTTTTGCCACGTAAACTAAGCCAATTCTTATCGTTTCCCCCGGTGAAATTGTTCTTGTGTTCTTTTCAGCGAGATCGACGAGGTGGAGCGTGCCAGAATAATGCATGTCTTCTAGATCTTTGTACAAAGAACACAGTAATGACATAGCTGTTGGGATTTGGCAAATAATCTTCTCATTATTATCGGAATCAGTGACATTTTCGTCTTCCCGTGATATGAACGCGAAGTCAAAGCTGTTGATGAACTCCCTGGATGAAGGCCATTCTTCCTGGTTCAGTTTCGGTTCAGAATTCAAGTGAGGGGACTCAAATCCGTTCAAAATGTCGATGTACGATTGCATGTTCTCGTTAAAGTTGGAGTTCTCCCGCTTTTCTTCTACAAAATTACAAGATTTTTCTTCATATTTCTCTTGTTGCTTATCTGGATCGAAATAATGCGCTTTGACATCATAACAGTCCGAGTTGTACATGGATTTCGAGAAAATTCGAACTTCATCTTTTGATATTGCTTTGAAGCACAAAACGCTTTCTTCTTTGACTACAGCGACTGATTCGTGGTCCCCTTCAGGAGGACTGACGTTTCCGTACTCCTGGTTCAATCTCAAGGCGAATTTCGGAATACTACGGCTTATGCAGCGTTTTATGAATTCTTTCTTGCACGGTAAGAGCTTTTTGAGTGAGTTTGTAAAGAGTATCGGATTTCTGGACTTAAGAGCTGCTTCGTGAACGATATCGAGTAATTGACTTAAAAATGCTTCGTCTTCATCGTTTTCTAAGGTATTTACTGACTCTATGATCTTATCGATAATCATATCGAAGAATTCTGGGAATATCTTTGAGATTTGGTCGTAAATTGGCGGAAACATTGTCAAAAATCTCAAAGGCTTTGAATTTGTGATAGGTTTTTGCAGGAAATGTTTCCATATTTGCTTTGTCTTGTCTGTAACTTGCTTCAAAGTGAACACTTCGTCTGCAATTAAGAAAGATAAGGCAGATACAGTTAAATCATCGAAATTATCGGCAATTTTATCGATCATATCGCCTAGCTGGTCCCTTATCTCTGGTTTGTCAGAAAGCAATGACCGTAAACTATGAATAATTCCGATTCTTTCGATAATTTCATTTTTGTCACTTTTTTGGATTCTTTTTTCCAGAGCTTTTAAGAGATTTATTGGTAACTCTGCATTTATAGCATGTGTGTAGAAAGTATAGAGAGCATGATGTGCAGCAATGAGACTTATTGGCTGTGGATCATCGTATTGCAATGATTTTCGGACAATTTCGCACCATTTCGTTCTACAATCGTCAGAAATACTGGATGGCTGAGTTGAACAGACCAATAAATAGGTGACCCTAAAGTTATTGATGAAATTCATGTCATCGATGATATCAGTAAGCCGATTAAAGAAATTTTGGAAAATGAAAAACATATTCGACGAAACATTGGCAGCCAAACGAGTCTGAATGAATACTAACGTCTCAATAAACCTAGACAGCGAGCTTTGAGGGAATCCTTTCGACAAAATCAGATTTACAAACGAAAGACAACGATTTATGAGTTGTTCTGCCGGCAACTTAGTAAGTTGTTCTCTTATATGAATACAGAAGCGATTCTTAATTACGTTCTGGTTGATTCTGTAAGGAGAAAAGAAATTATTAAATAATTCGCAATATTCGTTCATAAAAAGGTCGAAAGAGGACGGATCATCGTAAATCTCCATCGTATGATTACATAGCTCCACAACTTCCTTGCTTGGCTTCACTCTGTCGTTCTTTATCTTCGATTTATCTCTCCATTCCAAAAGTTCTTTTTTGTCTATGGATAAAAGTATCGGAGAGAAAGTGACAGCGAGTTGGGAAATCAGGGAATTGGCAGAAACCTCAAAATTGACATTTTTCAGTAAATTTTCTGTTAAATTTATTGAATCTATGGAATATTCCGTTTGTTTGAAGAAATCGAAGAGGTTGGCGAATATGAAACACGCCAGTTCTTCGTTATCGTGTATAATTAAGTATGTATCCGAAATTAATTTTGATGTGACTTGGATACCGAAAATTCTGCAGAATGAGTGAGTGATCTTTCTGAGTTGGAGCCTCTTTTCGTGATTGGGACTGTTGTAGGCTGATTTAACAAAGTAATTATACACAATTTTTCTGGATTCTTCAGGAATGCTTTGAATGAATTTATCTACGTTCTTTTTAGAGTTGTTAAGGAATTTGGCTCGCATGCTTGAGAGGTTTTCGCTTCCAATTGTTGTAAATTTCATTATTGGATAAAAAATTTCGGATAAAATATTTTCTACATCGGAATTATCAACTCTAATGCAATTGATAATAAATTCAACTGCAATTTTGTATTCTGATCCAATACATTTTGTAATATCTTCGGGTTTTGAGATTTTTTGAGCGTAATGATATTTTACTAGCTCGGAAATTGGTAAATTTGATAAAACACCAAACCAGAACCAAAATCTTTTCTTGCCTTTTACTTTCTGGGCTAAACTATCGATCCATTCGTCATAACTTGTTTGATTAATAAGAAAAACTTTGTAAAGTTCAATCCATTTACTGTAATCATCAGTGTCGGAGTTTGATGAATAATGGACTAAGATTGACCAAAATAAATTCCGAATTTTTGCATCTTTAATTGGTTCTGTCAATAAAATGTGATTTAATGAAGGAATGATCTTGTACTCAGATATGTTTGGAACATTTACGTTGTATTGATTGAAAAATATTTCTGGCTTTGATTTATCATCTTTTAATTGCTTCAATTCTTCAATCATACCCCTGAGTAAATCAATGCAATCATGAGCAGTATCAGGCTGCTGATTCATGCACTAAATATTAAAAAAATTTCGAAAAAAATTGTCAAATTTCAATTCACTGATATGAGACTGTATCAGAGGATCAAAATATCATCACAAGGTGTTTCTACCTGACAAACTATTAAGATATTAGTTATTTTTTACTTTATTTACGTTCATTTTTCATGAATGAATGAGGATTCATCTGTGATATCTCCAAGAAGCATCGAAATACTTTATGAATGACTAATATTTTCAGAAACCTTGTATTATAGAAGTTCCAATCAAAATAAAATTCGTAATTAGACATTTTTTGAAACAAATATTAGGCAAATGTTGAGTTTATTGAGTAAAATATCATTTTATTCATGCGTACATGCAAAATTTACTTATATCATGATGATACACTTTTAGGATTCAAATTTCGAAATTGATTTTTTGAGTTTTGTTCGCCAAACTTTCTCAATTAGATATTTGCATATCACCATTTAACAATTATTAAATAAATTTGATTACTAAATAAATTTTTCCGGTGCTGTGATAAAACGTGACAACTATTTTTTTTGACATTTTTATACAGAGAAGATGAGTAATATACCAGAAGAGTTTGCTGCCTTTGGAAAATATTACAATTATGCTCAAAAGATTAATAACGAACCCACAAGAGTCGTTCTTACGCATTTTTTCCTCAATCAAGCAACAGATATCATCAATGAAGGAGGAGCAAGCGAAGAAGCCGTTGAATTCTATCAAAATGTCAGAGACAACGTCAGAGAGTTCCAAGAAGAAGATGTTACAAACACTCGCCACTTCGTAAATGCAATTTGGGACGATCTTACAGGCAAGATCAAGAACGGCGTTAGAAAGAATGCAATGATTGGAAAGCTCTTGATGATGAGCGCCATCTACGGTATGTTTGATGACGATGCTTCGGCAAAACGCGAAAAAGATTGCAAAATATTTGCTATCAAGCTGAAGAAGCAAATAGAACAAAATGGAGAGTCAGATGGTAACGAAGCTCCAGCCGAAGATGTAAATTCTATTCCACAAAAGCAAGATCCAGCTCCAACAATGCCAAGTATGCCTCCTCCAACAACACCACAGCCAAATACATACCAAATGCCTCCTCCAAGTGCTCCTGCCGAGAATCCATACGTTCCTCCATCAAATCCTTACGTTCCTCCGTCAGAACCAGCTCCAAAGCCAACGCCACCACCTCAGGATCCACCAAAGCCAGCTCCTAAGCCAGCCGATCCACCGAAACCAGCTCCAAAGCCTGCAGCTCCTGCAGCTGAGCCATGCGCGTCAATTCCGAACTGCAAATACAATCGCGAGCCCGCTTTACAATACTTTAAAGAACAGGGAATTCCTCTCGTTACAAAATGTTACCCACAACCAGATCCTTCGTTATCTGCTTGTATTCAAAGATATCTCGACTACGCTGTATCTCGTCTTTACGCTGATATGTACTCTGATGCTAGCAAGTTATTACAAAACGCTTTACAATCATGGAAGACTGGAAAACCACAATAATTTAATAATATTTTTTTTGCTTCTGAATAATATATATTCTATTCTTATTTTTGCTTGATTTATTTTAAAAAAGGTTATGGTAACAATTTCCTATTTCGATTTTTATCTTTTGAAAAATTATATTTTTTATTAAACAGAACTTTTTAGTATCAAACAAATACAATAAGAAAATTATAGTTTTTTTTCTATCTTCTTCGGATTTTGAAATTATTGATGCTTTTAAGCTGATGTAATTCAGTGAATTTATTCACTTTCTCACTGTACATAAAATTAGGACCTCGTGGACATAGTCCTGTTGAAAGAAGTTTTAGATTATATGTATTTTCTTTGGGATTTACAATTGTAACATCTTTACCTTTTGCAAACAAATATTCTGAATGTTCAACATATGAGTTATTAACAATAACTGCATTATGTGGTTCTTCAATTCCAAATAAATATTGACCGTTTTGTTTGTTATCTGCAAAGTAACAATAATCAAAAGTTCCGTCGCATTCAATAAAATAAAACATTCCATTGTACGAATTAGACGCAAAAGCAGAGTTGTTTATGAAAATAATACTGAAAAAATGCAATATTACAGACTTTGATAGACAAATTCTAGAATTTGCATAATTTTCATCAATAATTGAGAATTTTACTAACATACTTTTTCCATTCGATTGTGAAAAAGCTGCATTATATTCACAATAGTTCTTTGTTATGTTATTCTGTAAAACTGAAATATCACCATATCGAAATTCAAGTGTAGCATATCCACTTTGAATTCCTCGATTACTAAATGTTATTGATGAATCATGAATTTGATTGATCATTGCTGAATTATCATTCACCTCAATAAAGCAAAACTTTCCGTGACCAAACGATTTAGATCCAAAACTGCAAACTTTTCTGATTGAACTTTGACCTTGGCTTATGTATATTGATCCACCATAACCATTTATTCTGGAAGAGTTTTCAAACGTGCATAATGAAATAAGTGACTTGAGATCATATGATCTAAGGATAATAACTCCATTATCACCAAGATTCGAAAAATAGACTTGTCTTACATAAAAATCTCCTGTTTTTTCTTCATACACCTGATTTGTGCTGAAAATTATACCAGAATATGTAGATTTGTAAACATCATACCATTCTGAGTTGGAATAATGTAATAATCTTTTCTCTAAGTATTTCATTTCGACTTTAATCATTTATAATACATTAATTAATAAAAATCTTGCAGTAATGAAATTTTCATTATGGAAATCCTGGATGATCATTGAGTGATAACTGCTTTGATCATAAAAGAACATTTTCAATATTTGAAATATCAATAAGTTCAATTACAGAATGATGCAAGTGAACATCATTTGAGATTGTTTTTTTTTCTGAATTTTCTCACATAATCGATCACAAAAAATTATCATTACGCTTTATGCTACATGTATAGAAAAAAAAAAAAAAAAAAAAAAAGGCATTGGGGCTTCCAGGCACTTCGTGCCCTCTAGCCCCGAAGATGTTTAGTATAAAACCGCTTTTTAACTTCACTTAAAATGCCACGTAAGCTACGTAAGAATATACGTAAGAGGAAGAGAGCATTGAAACATCCAATAGTAAGACTAACACCACAACAACAGTTGCAACAACAAATGCTGAATGACCCCACTATGTTGCAACAAATGTCAAGCAATCCTATGCTTTTAAACCGAGTTGTTGGTGCACAGAGTGGAGGTTTAAGAGCGGCACTTTTAGCGAAAATGGCAGGCTATGGTGGAGCTGCAGACGGAACAGCCTATAACCCTCAAAGTCAAATGAATTTGAGTTCACTCAAAAATCAAATAGCAGATGTCAAAAAGTCAAACATAGACATACAGAAGCAAATAGGTGAAAATGAAAAGAAACTAGAATATGACAGACACACAAAGAAACTCAATGAGTTAAACGTAGAGAAAAAGAAGAAAGAAGAACAACTGAAAGAACTAAGTACAGAGGAATATGCGAAAAAAGTGTCAGAAAAAGCAGCAGAAGTAGCAAAAATGGAACAAGATGTTGTAAATTTGAAAAACCATACTACTCGATATAAAGTACTGAAAGATGAAGAGATAAAACAAAAAGCCCTGAAGACATATATGGATAGCGATGAGTATAAAAAGGAAGTTGAAGCAAATGTAAAGGCAGAAAAACTTTTACAGTTGCAAAACCAAACCGTACAGTATGAAAACTTAGCACAAGAAAGTAAAAATAACGACGCAGCCATGCAAAAGGCAATGAAAAGCGCGGAATATATAAAAGCTAACAATGACTGGTTAGATGCCCAAGCCAACGCTAAAGCAGCCCAGCTTATAGGGTCAATAAGGACAAAAATACAAGCGGATGAAGACAGTTCAAATGAAACTTTAACAAATGCTGACTTTAAGAACGCCTTCGAAGCTCTTCATAGTAAGGTGAAACAAGTGAACGACTTCTCATCTGGAAAGAAACTGAAGTCTGAAGGTTTCGACAAAGAGTTAAAAGAAGTAGCACAAAATATGACGAAAATAACAGATGCAGCAACGAGACAGGCAGTTCAAAGTGCCTATGACGCCGTTAGAGCAACTGTTGTGAAAAGTCAAGAAAAAGAGTTACAACAGACCAAAACAGACCTAGTAAATGCTTTCTTAAAAACGAAAAGTCAGGTAGGACATTACGCTGCAGATGGAACATATGTGCCAGCTGGTGGAACTTATGTACCAGCTGGTGGAACTTATATACTAGCTAGTGGAACTTATATACCACCAAACCCTCCAAGAGAAGCACCTGCACCAGGACTACCTAACACATTTACATCGTCACATGGACACAGACACAGGCATGCACCAAAACCAACACAACAACAGCAACAACCAGCACAGCAACCAACAGTTCAAAACCCTGCACAACAACCACCTCCACAACCAGCACAGCAACCAACAGTTCAAAACCCTGCACAACAACCACCTCCACAAACAGAGCAAGGACATAAAAGAAGTAGAGAACAAGGAAACCAAGAATTCTTAAAAATGCTTAAAGAAGACTATGGTTACCCAGATACTATTGACTTTAGTGACAGATATAAAGAAGCTATTAGAAAGTTCAAGGATGGAAATACTGACCCGAACCTATTTAGCTTTATGGCTCTGCACCAAAGGGGATATAATCTCAAACCTGGAAAATACAAGCTCGCTAAGGGATATGATTTAATAGCATATCATCCAAATGACATGAACGAATTTACTCCGAGATATTTGATGTCAGAGCTAAATGACAATTTAACTCTCTTCATGAAACGCGTAAAAAATAGAGACGGAACGAAAGAAGAAAGGTTTATGAGTCCGGATGACTTAGAAAGGGAACTTTTTAAAAACGGTCTCGGAATATATGAAATGCCAGCAGATGAGGTACAAGAAACTCCACAGGAAGAAGTTCAGATACAACCAGACATGGAAGAAATAGTTCAGCAACAACAGCTAGAAGAGCCTGAAGGAAACGAACAAGTCACTCCTTTGGAAACTAACTTCACAGAACTAGATGAAGATTTGGAACAGCCGAAAAATCTTGACCCTCAACAAGAGTATGCGGAGAATATGGAATATTTCCAAGAGTCTAAAAAAAATTCGGCTGACATAGTAGAAGAATATCGAAAAATGTTTGCCGACATACAAAAGACTCCAACACCAGATGAAAATATTCAGCATAGAATGGAAGTACTGAAAGAAAATGTACACAAATACAACAACCCTTTTTACTTACGAGCATTTAACGTTCAATCTTCGGATGAACTCGGTGAAAATAAAAGGTTAAATTTCAAGAAAACATATAGAAATGAAACATTGTTTAAAGTTCATTCAGAACCTAACCAAGATGGAAACAAACCTACTTTTGTTTCTGCAGACGATGGAACTACAATGAGATGGGGTCATAAAGCTAACCCGGATAGGTGGTTCATAAACTTACAACCACAATTCCAAGAAGTTGTAGACGCAATGGAAGTCAATGGTGAACCAGATATAGCTGGTATTTTCAGCGCGGCTTTAATGCCATTGAAAGATATGAAAGATGCAGATATTTTGGACCAGTATGAAATGAACATGGCTGATGGAAATATAACACCTGACGTTCTAGAACATTTATCTCAAAGAACTACACAGAACCATAGAGATGGTATATTTGGTGAAGAGTTTAGAAAGAAAGTTAGGGAGGGAGAAGGAAGAGAACCTATTGTACATGACCTTGCAAACGAAAGTTTACAAAATGTCATAAAAACTTACTTTGCAGACAATGACCTGAGAAGGGATGAATATTTAAGAAAACTCAAATGGACAGTACCAAATGAAATGTTAGTATTGAAAAACATGTTCCTTGACAAAATAAAACCAACTACAGAAATAAATGACGAAAGACTGAAAGATTGGGTAAAAGCTTTCCCATTCACAAAAGATATAATTGGTAACATGGAAAGAAAACCAGAATGGCTACAAAAACATATATTTGGAAACGAGCATATTCCATATGGACAAGCTCTGTTTGAAGAGCTTGAACCGGAAACTCAGGAAAGAGTCATGCAAACAATAAGCGACGACTCAAATACAAACTATGACAAACTCTTTCTAGGATATTGGTTACCTGAGATGGGCGACCAGAGCCCAAAGGCAAAAAGGACATGGGAAATTTACAACATACTAGGTGAACATGAGGCAAAGATGCAACAACTTGAAGCAGAGGGCAAGTTACCAAAGCGACACCAAAGAAGAAGAGTAGAACAAAGTGAAAGTAGTGAAGAAGTAACTTCATCTAGTGAAAGTAGTGGCAATGAAGGAAAAAGAAGAGTTAAAAACTCAGTCAGGAAGAAAGTAAAGCTTGGTCCACGTGGGTTCTATTATGACATATAAATCCAACTATTCTATATTTTTACCCATATGAAATGTACGCCGCTCAGAATATAACGCCAACAGTTTTGGATGCCATGAATGGAAATGTTTCCGAATGGTATAACGAATGCGACAATGCCATTAGAAGGTCAGAAATAGTTCCTGGAACTTACGAATATACAACTGCTGTTTCTTATGGAAACGTAGGTGAGTTTGGAGAAGGTTCTTCAACAACAGTAGATATTGCATGCGACAGGTTTCATATTATTTCTATTGACAACTCATTCTTATACGTGGAACAAGACATTGAAATAAAACCTTCTGCCAAGTTGTCTGACAAGAAAGGTTGCAATGGAATTTTCTATGTCGGATACCAATATGCTCCAGAAGTTTTCATGGGATATAAGATATATTCTAACTCTGACTTAGTTCAAACAGTAACATGGGCAAACTATGAATGGTTCGCTTTGAGAAACTCAGTACAACCACAAGCTAGAGAACAAACAGACCAGTATGCAACTATTGAGAAAATAAGAAGACTTGACCCTAACGTTCCAGGAGTTTATGTTGACCTTTCTGGACAAACTGCAGCAGCAGTAACCAAAGTAAAACTGAAACTTAGAGTTCCTTTGTCATCTTTCCTCATCTTCAGGTTTTTAAGATACTTGCCAAACTGGGCAGGAAAAATTTCTATCGAACTTACTCCAAGCAAAAATAACTTAGTCATTGCACCAACACAAGACCCATTCACTCTTACTGTAGCTGGAACTGGTGGAGCCAAGTTCTGTGACTTTTGCAAAGACAAAGTTGACTTAGACTTTGGTTTCTCAAACCTCAACACTGAAGTAAACTACTACTTCAATGCTGCTGGAACTGCTTGGGACCCAGTTAAGTTCACATGCGAAAAGTTTGAATGCAAGAGAATAGAAAGCAGACTTGCAGTCTATATGTTGGACCCAGATATTTCAAATGCTTTAGCTGCCAAATATATTGCAGTTCCACTTATGTTCCCTATACACCAAATATCTGTCAAAGACTTTGCAGGTGAAGTTGGAAACCAAAGTGCTGACCCAGGTGCAAGAACAGATATTGCTTTAACAACTGCAATGAAACATGCAGATACTATGTTTGTACTGTTCAGACGAACTATAAATGACTATTCTTGTTTCTACAACCCCGGTATTAAATATCATATAAACATAGATGGCAAATATTATCCAAGAGAAGAATATTCTACAGTTGAGGATATGAGGTCATACAACTTGACATTAGATGCTATGAACTTTAACAACAACTTCACAACGACCATTAACCCTGAAATGCAAAGTTCTATTATGCCATATGTGAAAGTATGGACTCATACAGGAGGTCAAAAAACCCAATATACAAATGGAGACCGTTCAAACTTTTGGCTTGGCATTCCATTTGCTGACTCAGAAGACTTTATGGGTGGTATTTCAACTGTTGGTACAGTTCAAATACAATATACTGGTGACAGAGACGGTCCAGATGAACTGAGAGCAAAGAAGTTTACAAAACCAATAGCACTTTTCACGGAAGATGCTCTTTTGAAGATTCGTTCGATGAAACCTGCTGGGGCTCCTCAGATTGGCATAACGACAGCTTCCATCGAGCAGATTTTGGCAGCAGGTCAGTAAGTTGTTCTTGAACTGACTTCTCTCCGTCAAATATTGACAGTACGCCAGTTTTGACATAATATTGTAAGATAAACTTACCTTTAGAAATATCTGTAAGTTTTGAAGTTATATTTTTGTCTGCTTCAAGAACTTTCACCATTTCAGTTATACCAACTTTCTTTGCTTTATGAAAATATTTAGGTTCAGCAAAGACTGCTATTCTATAACATTTTCCATTGTTTGTGTAAAGAACTATTCTGTCAATGTATTTGTATTGTTTGTGTGTGTAAACTTTGTTCTGCTTCAATTCGAAGAGATACTCGAATACGTCCATCTTTTTATTCTAAGTAAAATGTCATTTCCGAAAAATAGAAGCGTAAGTGTTTCAAAAGGTTTAATGGCGATGGCAGATGTGAAGTTAAATTCACCAACTCAAACAAACAGTCAAAGTGTTGTTGTCAATGTCAAAGAAAGAGATGTTGAAGTGGGGAAACCATACGAAGACGAAGATGGTATAACAATAGTTCCTGTAAAAGAACAACCAACATATCCTGAAGTTAGCAGAGACTTAAGTTCTGTTGCAGATATTCGAAACGACTACCAACAACTTAAAGACAAACTTAAAACTCAGGAGAAGATTTGTCAAGCTTTAGGTCTAATGTTAAACTTGGTTGAGCACAACCCTGTAAAAGTGAACTCATATGTCATCGCACCTCATGAAGTTTTGAAAGAACTATTGAAACTTTTGACAGAGGCAGACGATATAAACATCAAAGAAATAGAACCCGACATTGCTTGCTGTGGTGTTTCATATAATGTCATTGACAAGATATACGTTATGAAAGGAGGTGAAACGTTGAACTTAAAATATAGTTTCCCAGACGTCATAAAAATATTTGACGACCACAACATTTCATTAAAATTTATTTGCTAAGTAAAAATGTCAAAACTTCTTGAAAGATGTTTGAAGAAAAACAATATAGACTTTATTTCATGTAAAGGACTTTACACACTTTTGAACGATATGAAAGACCCTGTTTTGTTTGTTCGTGTAGACAAAGGAAAGTTCTATGTCTTTACAAAATATTTGAACTTCTTAGACAGAGAACTTCAAGAAACGCCATGTGAAAGTTTAGATGAAGTTCTTCTCCACTTTCAGAAAAACTTTTAAATATATGTAAATGGCAGAAGACATAGTGGTTTATACTATTACGACTAAAAACCCTGAGTCATATAATTCTATAACAACAAACTTACAAAGTCCTCAAGGACGATATTGTAAACTGACCTTAAACACGATGACGACTAAAGCCTGTTTTGCTCTTTTGACACCAGAAGACTTTGTTGTTGTGAATGGTAAAAAATACTTCTTTGAAGATACTTACTCAGATATACCACCAACAGGTTTTGTTGACTTATTTAATACTTTAAGGACGGATGTAACATGTGCTGCAACTAGAGCAGGTTTCATTATGTTTGGATGTCCGACTGAGTTTAGTATAAACGATATGAGCTATAATACAAAACTTATATCTGGTTTTTACTACCAACAGTTTCCTATAACAGGAAAAGGTGTCATACAAGGTCTATCTATTCCATTGACTTTAAGTACACCTATTTTATATATTGTTTCAAACTTAGGTTCAAAGTGCTATTCGAATGTCGACAGAAACTACTATGACCAAAAGATACTCATGCGTATAAACAACACATTCTCTGCTGGTTTGCCTATTGTTCATTCGAATGCTGAGTTTTCAGCTTTAGTAAACTCAAACACTTTAGCAAACATAAACTTAACCTTAGTTGACGCAAACTTTGTTCCTGTAAAACTTTTATGTCCTATGTATTTGTCAATGACGGCAGAAAGTTTCGAATTGGAAGATGCAACTGGTGAAAGTATTGTACTACAAGAACAACTTCAACAACAAATAGCTCAAGAACAACAAATGCAACAAATGGAACAAATGCAACAACAAAGTCAAGAATAAAAAAAATATTTTTTTTTATTTTTATAAAAAATGTACAGAATAGACGTTTCAGATTTTTATGACTTCCAAGCGTTCAGAAATATGTGTCCATTTAGAGACTATAACAAAGCAGTCGAGAATTTGAAACGTTTAGTCATTTATGTCGACTCTGCCCCAGAATGTTATGTTATGAAAGAATGGGATGTAGTCTTTAACAAACCTAAAGCGACAATAGTTTCAGAACAAGAATGTAAACAGAAACTTAAGAAAATAAAAGTCGTACAAGTTGGCATGAAGATGTTAGATGCTTGGGATATCTTATTGTCAAAACTTGAAGATTTTTCAGTTCGTGGTATAAAGTTCTATACACCTTCTCCAAACTTCTATTCTATCTTCACTGGATATAAATACGAACAAGTAGAATGGAAAGAAAATGTTATAGAAGCTTGGTTAGACCATGTCAAAGAAATTATATGCAATGGAAACGAAAGAGTCTATGAGTATATCTTATGTTGGTTTGCAAACATCTTACAACATCCAAGTGCTAAAAATGAAACTGCTCTCATTGTAATTGGAAAACAAGGAACAGGTAAGAACACTTTCTTTACAGATATCTTATGCAAACTGTTAGAAGGCTATTCGAACCCGAATATGACAAACTTAGAAAACATCTGCGGTAAATTTAACTCTTCAATAGAGAATATGAAACTTATAGTATGTAACGAACTTCAAAGTATAGATACAACAAAGGTTTTAAACTCAGATGCTTTGAAGAGTCTTATAACAGACAAAGTTGGAGTTGTTGAAAGAAAGTATAGAGACCAAAGAGTTTGTGAAAATGTTGCAAATTTCATCATGGTTTCAAACAACGCCGTTCCGATGAAGTTAGAAAGTTCTGACAGAAGATATGTAGTTGTCAGAACGTCAGAAGCTCATATGCAAGATACAGAATATTTTGACGACTTAGCAGAAACTTTGACATCTGACTTTTACAACCACTTGTTCTCATATTTATGACATTAGATATTTCTAAGTTCAACCCAAGACAAATTCCACATACCGAAGAGAGACAAACATTGTTAGAAGCAAACAAGAGTGTATATGAACTGTTCATAGATGAAACTGACTTTGAGTGTTTAGATGAAAGGTCATTGTACGATTCGTATAAACAGTATTGTCAAGAGTATGGTTATATGACAGCGTCTAAACGAACATTCTTGGCAAATGTCAAAAGTCTTTTAGACGTACAGAATGGTGTATATACAAAGAAAAATTTTTCTGAGTAAATTTTAAAAAAAATATTTTTTTTATCCGATAGAAAAGATGACAAAATTCATCTCAGTAAACAAGTACATGTCAGGACTTAAAGAAGAACTAGACCCATTCACATATTTGAATGTTTACTTCTACCATTTTGAAAAGTCTTCATTTGACAAAGTTTGGAACATCGAACCAGTTAAGTTTGCTATTGTGACTAAAAATGGTGCGAAATTTGAAGACTTAGACATAGAAGGTTTGTTAACAGTCAAAGAAAGTTTTGACAGAAGGTTCTCAAACCTTAAAGAAGGCAAAGCATACAAACTTGTTATACCTTATGAACCAAAGAAAGCAGACGACTATGAATATTATGAGTCTAAGATAGTTGAAGTTCAAGGTAAATTGGGTAAAAAGATTTTAGAGTCTAAGCCGGTGTTTGCTCCTAAAGAGGAAGAGAACATTGACATTGACCCAGAAATGTTCTAAAAATAAAATTTTATTTTTACATGTCATATCTCCCCTTCTCTGGTTCAGGTTCTTTCTTCTCTTCTTCTACTTTCTTTTCTTTCTTTTCTCTCTTCTTCTTCTCTGGTGGAGTTATATCAAATTTCTCAGAACCATATTTTTGTAAAGGTGCTTTGTCATTTAATAGCTCTTCTATTCTGTTTTCTATTTCATTTTCAAGAACAGCGCATGTGTCTTCTTTGCATTCTAAGAA